ACATGAGACGTTAATCAATATATGTAAGAAGTACATTCGTTCGGTCTGGAAATGCGGGACAAGTTGAAGCAAAGGCAGGAAGACTGGAAGTGGGAAGGAGGCTTCCAGGTAACAGACAGGAGGTTGCAGTGCGCTGAGATCGCGCCACTGTACTCCAGCCTGGGCGACAGAGGGAGGCTCCGTCTCAAAAACAGAAAGAAAAAAAAAAACAAAAAACGGGAGGGAGGGCAATAGAGCAATACTGTATATGTAAAATACAGAATGGTATGGTACCAAGCACACATAGATGGAATGATCTGTAGCACTTCTCAAGAGCCGTTTAGAGCTTGTTCTCCCCACACCCCCAATCTCTTTGTTCCTTGGGGATCCCACACACAGCACAAACTGTGTTTTAATTCCTATTCTCTAGTGTGCAGATAAGGCCTGGCACGTATTAAGTGCTCAAAAGAAGTCGTGAGCAAGATAACGACAAATCAGTTTCCACGTCTCCAACTACTTTGAAGCTCGTAGAGACTTCCAATCTCTTGCGCTTCTACTTCAACGCCCACTTTCAGATACAACAAACCGACGTTGTTAACCTATTACGTAGAAAAGCAGCGCCCAGAGTGGGGCGAGGCGGGTTTTTAAGCTCCGGTCACGTGACGAGAGGGGCGGGGCATCAAAGTTCATATCCCAGTATCCTTTGAAGCTACTTCCTTTTTCCTTCTTTCCGGCGTTCAAGATGTCGAAGCGAGGTGAGGTTTTACTTTTGGAGGATCCTCCGCCATCTGTCGTGCAGTGGCTGGCGGGTTCATCGGGAGCGGTGGCCCTAGGCAGCTGGGGCGCTGTGCTCTCCTTCAGGCCGAAGATGGAGAGCCAGGCTGCCGCGAGAGGACCGCCAGGGCCCCCGAAAGTGGCACTGGGGTGCTGAAGAGTTGAGATGGCAGGATCACGACTGTAGCCTGGATCCCGCGAGTTCGCTCCGCGAATAGGGCTACCGTAATGGGGTTGAAGTTAGACTGGGTTAGACCCTGGTTTGCGAGATCTCTGCGGTCTTCTGCCTTGCAGGGGTAATTGCGTTTTTGCGAAAGTTGGAGCAAGCAAGGGCTGAGTCTTCCAGGTCCCTTAATTTCGATGTGAGAGTGGTAATAGTGAGAAATGGCTACTTCCCGTGAGGATCGGGTGGCACACGGGGACGGCATAAGTAAAATTCGATAGAGCCAATCTGTAGTGCACAGTCTATCAAAGCATGTGCGGAGTGTATGAGGAGGAACTCGGAACCGTGTCTAGATGGTGGTCCCTTTATCCTGTTTCCCTTCCCTTTATATCCACAGGACGTGGTGGGTCCTCTGGTGCGAAATTCCGGATTTCCTTGGGTCTTCCGGTAGGAGCTGTGATCAACTGTGCTGACAACACAGGTGAGGTCTTTGCACGCTGCTTCACTTCCCCTTTTTAAAAGCACTCAGTGGGCCTGTGGCTAATGACCTGTTGAGCCGTCAAGAAAGGGAAGAATGAAAACACCGCTTTTGGGTGAAGCGGCAGCATGATGTGTTGTTTTGCTTCAATCAGTGGTGTGACAAGGCGTTCCTGGGGACTAACTGCTTCGGCAGTGAGTGTTTGGGAAATGTTATACTGATGCAACGGCCTAGTCGGCCCTCAACATTTTGTGATTTTTATTTACATCTTTTTGTAGGAGCCAAAAACCTGTATATCATCTCTGTGAAGGGGATCAAGGGACGGCTGAACAGACTTCCCGCTGCTGGTGTCGGTGACATGGTGATGGCCACAGTCAAGAAAGGCAAACCAGAGCTCAGAAAAAAGGGTGAGTAAACATTGAGCCCTCCTTAATACAGATGGGTAGTGGGAGGACTCTTCTTTATTGGAAAAAGGGTCCGTTTCCAAGTTTGTTTTCCATGGAGAGGCAGTGTGAGAATAAATAAGTTTTTGCTCAGACTGTGTTGGAGGGACCATCATCTTGTCACTTCCATATTTGCAGCTTGTGTCCTGTCTGGCTTTAGAACTGCTGGTATTTGATGCATTTTAATTTCAGCTCTTGAAATTTTTTCCTGTGCCTCGTTAGTTTGTCTCTACACTGGGATGTCTTGCTTTTCTAAAGATTTCCTGGCCATTCCTTGATTTACAAATATGATGTTGACTTGCCAGCCTTGTAATACACTTACTCCACCCCACTATGCTCTCCAGTAGATTTTTTTAGCCCTTGGGTTGGAAATCTTTTTTTGTGGCCTGGCATAGTGGCTCTCTGTAATCCCAGTGCTTTGGGAGGCCAAGGCAAGTGGATCCATGAGGTCAGGAGTTCGAGACCAGCCTGGCCATCATGGTGAAACCTTGTTTCTACTAAAAATACAAAAAATTAGCTGGACATGGTGGAAGGCGCCTCCCAGCTACTCAGGAGGCTAAGCCAGGAGAATCGCTTGAACCCAGGAGCAGAGGTTGCAGTGAGTCGAGACCGTGCCACAGCACTCCAGCCTGGGCAACAGAGCGAGACATCTTCTCAAAAAAAAAAAAAGGGGGGGGGGGGGGGGGGGGGGGGCGGAGAGAAAAGAGATCTTTTTCTGTTCACCATTAATGAGGGCTTGGTAGCACTGTAATTGTGATTCAGCAATTGTGCTTTTTTCTCTTCTCAGAATACTTCCTGGGTCTGATTGGTGGCCCAGGAAGCTGTCAGAGAAGAGTAGAGCAAATGGCCATCACATTGTGGATGAGATGGCAGGACGGTGGATTGTTGGTCTCAGGGATGGAACAGACCAGAGCTCCAAACACTTCAGTGGTTTTTTTTTTCTGTTTCGAGACAGTTTCACCAAGGCTGGAGTGCAGTGGTGCGATCGCAGCTCACTGCAGCCTCTGCCTCTTGGCTTTAGGAAATTCTCCTGCCTCAGCCTCCCGAGAAGCTGGGATTACAGGCACACACCATCACACCTGGCTAATTGTTTCTATTTTTCTTAGTAGAGATGGGGTTTCATTATGTGGCCAGCCTGGTCTCCAACTCTCCTGACCTTGTGATCCGCCCACCTCAGCCTCCCAAAGTACTGGGATTACAGGCGTGAGCCACCGTGCCCAACTTCTGTTTTAAAACTAGTTGTGAGTTTCCAGTTCCGGTTAATGTCTTTTTTGGTCCTTTTTTCTGCTAAGTGAATACATCCCCTCCCCTTGGAACTTAATATCTGTAAATAACAAGTATAGAAATGTGCAAAGAGGCCAGGACTGTTTATCTACTTGGTGAATTTTTGAGGAATAAATGGTTTATAAGTAGAGGAGGATCAGTAAATACTGGCTACATCATGTGTGTCCTGTTACTAACCTGGTTAGACTTACTTTTTTTTTTTTTTTTTTGAGACAGAGTCTTGCTGTGTTGCCCAGGCTGGATTGCAATGGCGTGATCTCAGCTCACTGCAACCTCTGCCTCTCGTGTTCAGGCGATTCTCCTGCCTCAGCCTCCTGAGTAGCTGGGATTATAGGTGCTCAACCACCACTCCTGGCTAATTTTTGTAATTTTGTTAGAGATGGAGTTTCACCATGTTGGCCAGGTTGGTCTCCTAACCTTGTGATCCGCCCACCTCCGCCTCCCAAGTGCTGGATTGCAGGCATGAGCCACTGTGCCTAGCCAGACTTAATCTATTTTTTGTCGTACTTGTTTCAAGGAAGGTCATTCTTCCTGTCTTTATAAAAATTCTATGTAAGTAACTTGCTCAAGGTCTCTAAGCTAGTATCAGTCAAAATTTGAATGCAGATATGCCTGACTCTAAAATAGTTATTCACAAGCATTATATTTCATTATGTAGTGATATTTCATTTCAAAAGTTGAGAAAAGCATCTTTATCATCTTAGTACAGATAGGTGTAAAAGTTACTTATAACTGGAAAACAATTCATTAAAAGTAAAACATAATGCTCTGGTTTCTCTTCATAACAAATCTTTCGCTTTTTACTAAAGATTTCCGTGGAGAGGAACAATTATGAGTTTTTAATTGAATTTTTTGATGTCCTGCTTAGGCAGGACTCATTATCCAAAAAAAAAAAAAAAATAAAAAATAAAGCCTGGTGCTTGGGCCTGGAAATTCAAACTGTTTTCTAGTGTTAAATCTGTTTTCCAGATTTCTGTGTGAATAGCTTGACCTCTCTGCTCATTACCAGGACTGGGAGGGGTTGGGGGTCCCTGGGATCTTAATAACCCACCTGTGGGGTGAAGTTGGAAAAGGCATAGGCAAGGATAATTGTCTTCCTAAGAGTTTCACACTTGCAAGAGAATACTGGCAGCTTTGATTTTTAATACGTGAATAGGGGCTGGCTTTGGTGGCTCATGCTTATACTCTTACCACTTCGGGAGGCCAGCCTGGCTAACATGGTGAAAGCCTGTCTCTATGGGAAAAAGCCAGAAACAAAAATTATCTGGGCATGGTGGTGTGCACCTATAGTCCCCGCTACTAGAGAGGCTGAAGTGGGAGGATCACCTAAAAGATTGATATTTACACTGTCTTGCACTGTCTCAGTGAAATGCTGAGTATACATTCTGTCTGGTTGGAAACTGCTTTTGCGGTGGCCCTGGGACTTGATGGGTTAATGACTGCTTTCCTTTTTTCTTCTCTCAGTACATCCAGCAGTGGTCATTCGACAACGAAAGTCATACCGGAGAAAAGATGGCGTGTTTCTTTATTTTGAAGATAATGCAGGGGTCATAGTGAACAATAAAGGCGAGATGAAAGGTAGGAAATCAGTCCAGCTTGTTCCTCAGGTCTCTGAGGTTGGGTGGATTGTCTAGAAGTACAGGCCAAGGACCCTGTGTTTGTGCCTTAACCTGTCCCCACATGCTTTTTTTAAATGCAGGTTCTGCCATTACAGGACCAGTAGCAAAGGAGTGTGCAGACCTGTGGCCCCGGATTGCATCCAATGCTGGCAGCATTGCATGATTCTCCAGTATATTTGTAAAAAATAAAAAACTTTAAAACCATTAAAAAGTATTTGTTCGCAGTGCTTGCCTCCCTGTCCACTTCTACATTCTCTCTCTTTTTTTTTTTTTTTAAGACAGTCTCACTCTGTCACCCAGGCTGGAGTACAGTGGTGAGATCTTGCTCGCTGCACCCTCCACTTCCAAGGTTTAAGCGATTCTCCTGCCTCAGCCTCCCAAGTAGCTGGAGTTGCAGGCACCTGCCACCATGCCTGGCTGATTTTTGTATTTCGGGATTTCACCATGTTGGGCATGCTGGACTCAAGTGATCTGCCCACCCTGGCCTCTACACTGTTTTGACATCCCCTGACCCCTGACCATTGCTTTGGTGAAATGGAAACTTTCTCTGGGTATGTGTTACAGGGGAAAAAAAAAAAAAAGGCAGTCCTTGCTGTTTTGTGAGTGCAGACTTTTGGCATTTTCCAGTTGCTGTATTTATAATTTTCACTTCAAAAAGGATTATTTGGGTTTTGAGTCCCAAAAACAAATTGCAGATAGTAGATACTAGTGACAGGCTATCCAAGGTAGCCTCTCCTACAGTGAGAAAGGCATTAAAGTGGCCAGGTGCAGTGGCTCACTCCTGTAATACCAACACTTTGGGAGGCTAAGGCAGGCAGATCATGAGGTCAAGAGTTTGAGACCAGCCTGGCCAACATGGTGAAACGCCGTCTCTACTAAAAATGGAAAACTTAGCCAGGCATGGTGGCACATACCTGTAATCCCAGCTACTCAGGAGGTTGAGGCAGGAGAATCGCTTGAACCTGGGAGGCAAAGGTTGCAGTGAGCCAAGCTCACACCACTGCATTCCAGCCTGTGTGACAGAGCAAGACCCTCAAAAAAAAAAAAAAAAAAAAGGCATTAGGCCGGGCACGGTGGCTCATGCCTGTAATCCCAGCACTTTGGGAGGCCGAGGCAGGTGGATCACGAGGTCAAGAGATCGAGACCATCCTGGTCAACATGGTGAAACCCCGTCTCTACTAAAAATACAAAAAATCAGCTGGGCATGGTGGTGTGTGCTTGTAATCCCAGCTACTCAGGAGGCTGAGGCAGGAGAATTGCCTGAACCCAGGAGGCGGAGGTTGCGGTGAGCCGAGATTGCGCCATTGCACTCCAGCCTGGGTAACAAGAGCGAAACTCCGTCTCAAATTTAAAAAAAAAGGCATTAAGATAGAGTTTATAGTTGGATGCTGGACACAGACCTGGCTTTTGAGGACTGATGTGAGCTGGAGTCTGTTTGTATATGCACACGTTAGTAGTTACAGGTTTTGAGTGAACTGAGTATTTGTAAAACAGTAATTTCATGTAGGTTTACTGTCACAATGGAAGATGATTAAGTTAATGGTACCTTTAGGTATTTTGCTATGAAAATGTTTTGACAGGATGATGGTGTGATTTATATTTTTAGAGACAGGGTTTCACCATGTTGGCCAGGGTGGTCTCAAACTCCTGGCCTCGTGATCCACCCACCTTGGCCTCCCAAAGTGCTGGGATTACAGGCATGAGCCACTGCTCCTGGCTGGTTGTTAGCATTTCTTTCTAAACTTTGTAAGAGTTGATTTCAGGCCAGGTGCGGTGGCTCACGCTTGTAATCCCAGCACTTTGGGAGGCCAAGGTGGGTGGATCACCTGAGGTCGGGATTTCGAGACCAGCCTGACCAACATGGAGAAACCCAGTGTCTACTGAAAATACAAAATTAGCTGGGTGTGGTGTGACACACCTGTAGTCCCAGCTACTCAGGAGGCTGAGGCAGGAGAATCACTTGAACCCAGGAGGTGGAGGTTGCAGTGAGCCGAGATCGTGCCGCTGCACTAAACTAAAGCATGGGCAACTGGTGAAACTCTGTCTGAAAAAAAAAAAAAAGATTGATTTAGATGACACACCCAGTGTCTGGGAAAAATGAGTATTAGTTTAGAACAATAATTTGCAGGAAAGTAGACTAAATAGGGTTTTTAGACTAAGGTTTGTGTTTATGTATCTGTATCAGCAATTCTCAGCCATAAATGGCTCTACCTGTAAGTTGGGTATAATACAAGCTCCACTTGGTATTCAAAAGGACTACCCTTAATGTCTTGCATGATTGGATATGGAATGTACCAGACCCAGAGAGGAGCTGTTCTAACCTGGAGCTTTTGAAAATGTTGCCGGGTGGTGGCTCAAGCCTGTAATCCCAGCACTTTGGGAGGCCGAGGCGGGTGGATCACGAGGTCGAGAGATCGAGACCATCCTGGTCAACATGGTGAAACCCCCGTCTCTACTAAAAATACAAAAAATTAGCTGGGCATGGTGGCGCGTGCCTGTAATCCCAGCTACTCAGGAGGCTGAGGCAGAAGAATTGCCTGAACCCAGTAGGCAGAGGTTGCGGTGAGCCGAGATCGCACCATTGCACTCCAGCCTGGGTAACGAGCAAAAACTCCGTCTCAAAAAAAAAAAAAAAAAAGAAAATGTTTCCAGTCCATACCCCAAACCAATTAAGTCAGAGTACAGAACAGGACTCGAGCTGTGAAGCTCCCAGGAGAGCACAAGAGACACTCAAGATTGAGAACCAGTGTCCTGTCTAGACAAAACCACTCTTGGTTTTAAAAGTATTAAATCTCAGCTGGGCGTGGTGGCTCACGCCTGTAATCCAAGCACTTTGGAGGCCAAGGCGGGTGGATCACCTCAGGTCGGGAGTTCAAGACCAGCCTGACCAACATGATAAAACCCCGTCTTTATAATTAATTAATTAATTAATTAATAAAAGTATTAAATCTCTAGTTTTAAAGAGACCATATCATTTCTGAGTTGGTCAATTTCAAGTCAGCTTTAGTGTGACAAGTCCCTAGGCCCACCTTTTATGTCTTTATATAGTATCCCTAATCACTGACATTTTGAATTATCTTTTGAGACAGTCTTGCTCTGTCACCCAGGCTGGAGTGCAGTGACACAATCATACCTCACTGTAACCTTGAATCCTCCTGGCTTGGCCTCCAAAGGGCTGCAATTACAAGTGTGAGCCACTGCATCCCACCTCATACTTTATTCTTTGGAGAATTTTTTTTTTACTTGGATTAAAAGCTTGATGTTTACATTTCACTAAATAATTTCCTTTGTCACCCAAGCGTGGTGGCTCATGCCTGTAATCCCAGCTCTTTGGGAGGCCAAGGTGGGCTGATCACTTGAGGTGAGGAGTTTGTGACCAGTCTGGCCAACATGGTGAAACGCTGTCTCTACTAAAAATACAAAAATTAGCTGGGCATGGTGGTGGATGCCTGTAATCCCAGCTACTTAGGTGGCTGCGACAAGAATTGCTTGAACCCTGGAGGTGGTGGTTGCAGTGAACCAAAATCACACTACTGCACTCCAGCCTGGGCGACAAGAGCGAGACTCTGTCTTAAAAAACAAAAAACAAAAACCTCCATCTCTATAAAAAAAGTATCTGGGTGTGGTTGTGTGTACCTGTAGTCCCAGCTACTCTGGAGGCTGAGGCAGGAGAATCGCTTGAACCCAAGAGGCTGCAGTTAGCCTAGATTGCTCACTGCACTCCAGCCTGTGCAACAGCAAGACTGTCTCAGATATTAATAAGACAATAAGATATATAATTAGCTAGATTCAATGCTGTATGTGGAAACTAAAGGAGAAAGAAAATTAGCTGGACGGGCCGGGTGCGGTGGCTCAAGCCTGTAATCCCAGCACTTTGGGAGGCCGAGGCGGGTGGATCACGAGGTCAAGAGATCGAGACCATCCTGGTCAACATGGTGAAACCCCGTCTCTACTAAAAATACAAAAATTAGCTGGGCGTGGTGGCGTGTGCCTGTAATCCCAGCTACTCGGGAGGCTGAGGCAGGAGAATTGCCTGAACCCAGGAGGCGGAGGTTGCGGTGAGCCGAGATTGCGCCATTGCACTCCAGCCTGGGTAACAAGAGTGAAACTCTGTCTCAAAAAAAAACAAACAAAAAAAAAAAAAAAAAAAAAAAAAAGAAAATTAGCTGGACGAAAAATAGGGTAATGTGTTTCCCCGCTGTTTTGTTATTTTAAAGGAAGGATGAGGCCAGACCTGGTGACTCATGCCTGTAATCCTCTCAGCTTGGGAGGCCAAGCTGGGCTGATCACTTGAGCTCAGGAGTTTGAGACCAGTCTGGCCAACATAGCAAAACTCTGTCTATAAAAAATGCAAAAATTACCCAGGTGTGCTGGTGGGCACTTGTAGTCCCAGCTACTTGGGCAGTTGAGGCAGGAGAATCATCACTTGAACTTGGGAGGTGGAGGTTGCAGTGAGTTGAGATCACAACCCTGCATGCCAGCCTGGGCAACAAGAGTGAAACCCTGTCTCAAGGGGGAAAAAAAGAAGCATAAATAATAGCAGAGAAAAATAATTGGGGTGGGGCTGGGCAGGGTGGCTCACGCCTGTAATCCCAGCCCTTTGGGGGGCCCGAGGTGGGAGGATTACCAGAGGTCAGGATTTTGAGACCAGCCTGGCCAACATGGCAAAACCCCATCTCTTCTAAAAATAGAAAAATTACGCACACCTGTAATCCCAGCACTTTGGGAGGCCGAGACAGGCCAGATCACCTGAGGTCAGGAGTTGAAAGACCAGTCTGGTGAAACCCTGTCTCTACAAAAAATACAAAAATTAGCCAGGTGTGGTTGCATGCACCTGTAAACCTAGGAGGCAGAGGTTGCAGTGAACTGAAATTGTACCACTGCACTCCAGCCTGAGCAACAGAGCAAAACTCCATCTCAAACAAAATAAAAAATAATAAAAATACAAAAATTAGGCTGAGCTCAGTGGCTCATATATGTAATCTCAGCACTTTGGGAAGCCAAGGTGGGCAGATCCTGAGGTCAGGAGTTCAAGACCAGCCTGACCAACATGGTGAAATCCTGTCTGTACTAAAAATACAAAAATTAGCTGGGTGTGGTGTGGTGGCATGTGCCTGTAATCCCAGCTACTCAGGAGGGTGAGGCAGGCGAATCACTTGAACCTGGGAGGCAAAGGTTGCAGTGAGCTGAAATTGTGCCACTGCACTCCAGCCTGGGCAACAGAGTGAGACTCATCTCAAAA